AAACGGGCCAGCAGCCCCCGACAGAACATGCTGCCCCCTGGATCCCTGACAAGGCCACGGATATCTGCATGCGTTGCACGCAAACCAAATTCTCCACGCTCACACGCAGGCACCACTGTCGAAAATGTGGCTTCGTGGTGTGCGGAGAGTGCTCCCGACAGAAGTTCCTCATGCCCCGGCTTTCTCCCAAGCCTTTGAGGGTTTGTAACCTTTGCTATAAACAGCTCATGGCTGAGAAAAAGAATACTGAAGAGCACCGCAGCCAGGCAAGGCCGTCCGACTCCCCTCTGGTTGGCTACGACCCATCAAGCGGAGATGACAGCGATAGATCCGACGAGGATAAACTGGAACAGTGGCCGGCTGATACTGAGTTTTACACATCGGAAGTGCCGTGGTCATCTTTCCATAGGTGACCTCTTTGCAGCCTAGTTAATTGTAGGATCCCTGTTGTTACTTCTGAGCAGTACAGGGGACAGGCAGTAGCTTTAGGGCCCTTTTCAGAGTGTTTGTTGATTGAGTTCCTCAATTCCGTGTGTTTCCCTATTCTGTGAATAAGGAAGAAGGTATGATCATGTCAAATTGGGGGCGGGGGCGTTGTCTCTTTTAAGAGTGCACCATTTTCATTTAAGTTAGAGGTGGAGCTTAACTGGATGCTTATAACAAACCCAGGCATGACAGGTTTCCCAGAAAGGCTGGTCCGCAAAGTTCAATGTTGAGACTTAGCCTGGTTCACAACTCATGAAATGGCTGATGCTGTGCGCGGGAATGGGGATGGAAAGGCAGGGAAGAACATCCCTTCGGAACACCCATTGTGGTATATGCTAGAGAAGTCTGCTTTCCTTAGAACCGGAGGATGAATTCCAGGTCCAACAGTCACTATGGAATCTACATGAAGGTCCAAGAATCTGAGGCAACGGCCCATTTTGTGGACAATAGTACATGTGCTTGATCGTCATTTTTCCTCATAATCAGACCTTTTGTGTTGGGTTTGGCCTTCCACACAAGAGCCTTATTTTGATTATGATGCTGCAAGGAAGAGACTGTATGAGGATGAAGTTGCATTGAGCTAGGCCCATTTCAGACATCCGCAAGAGTCTGTTTGTGTAATGCACAAGTTAATGGGAAGGCCTGCATACCCCTCCCCTTGTGTGATGGACTGAGACCTAAGTTTTCAGCCAACTCCAGTTCGCATTGAGGCCCAAATGAAGGAGCTTTAATATAATGGTGTTAGCAATTTCTGCAGGGATTGGGATTCTTAACCGAGATTAGACAATGGTCAGCGGTGCAATCCTAGTACACCTTTCTACGTTCACATTGACTTCACTAGATTTAGAGGGGTTAAGGATTGTACTGTGCAGGGGTCATTTCCTAGGAAAAGAAGTGCAGGAGCTCATTTGCATAACTTATTTGCATATGCCACACACCCCAACAAAGGGCAGGCATGTTTAAAATTAGTTAAGGCATATGCAAATGAGTTTAAATCCCTCCCTTCCCTGAGTCTCTCCGCAAAAGCGGAGAGGCTCAGGGGAAAGGGGACCATGTCTGCCCACCTCCCCTTCCGTTCTCCAGCCAGCCCACCGTGGCAAGCTGGCTGGAGAAGGGAAGGGCAGGGAGGCAGACATGCCTGGTTTCCCTGCCCGATCTTCTCCAGGGGGCCCGTGGCTGTGGGGCACCTTAAGATCGGGCAGGGAACCCAGGCATTTAAATCCCCCCCAGTCTCTCCGTGGGTGGGCCATGAAAGGCGGGGGGGCCTGGGCTCCTTACTGCCGGAGCACTGCTCCGGGGTGCTCCAACAGGAAATGACCTCTGTTACTGTGTAAGGCTTCAGTCCTAAGAATCATAGGAATCTTGGAGCGAGCCCCATTGAATAAAGTGGGAGTTATTTTTGAATAAACATTTATAGGATTGTGCTGTAAGAATCCCATGTATGCGTTATTCTGCTGGTCTGTGACTGTAATAAATCACTGATTGATTGTAAGAAAGAAACTGATTTCAGATTCAGGTTTCCTGCATTTGGAAATCACAACTAATTGGAGTGAGTGGAAGGCTTCCATCTTTAAGCCGGGGATGGGGGGGTGGGAGAGAGAAGGAGAGTATGCACAACAGATTGCAAAGCATCTCCACTTTGTTCATGACATCTGAAGTAAGCCTTCATTTGAAGCCATGTTCGATTCCACATTAGGAGAATTTTAGGGATGGACACTGGGAAATCAGTTGTGGCCCTTTGGGAATCAATAGTGTAAAAACAGCCCTGTGTGGGTTTATATTATCCATTTTGGCCTGTTAAGTGTGAATTTTCCCTTGCTTCAACACTGCTTGAATTATTTTAATAGGTCCTGGTAACACCGGCGGGAAAAGCTGTGCCGTAAGTGCGGCTTCTTAGAGCTGCACCAAAGGAAAGCGCGGCATCGGGATCAGACGCTTCCCCCGAGCCGCCGCTCATATTCTGTCTGGTGCGATCACATGGCTGGGGGAAGCGAGGCAAAGACGGGCGAGCCGAGGCTGCTGGAGTATTCGTGCGCATGTGCGGTCCAGCAGTCCCTCGAATAACATGGGCTACCGGTGCGTCCGCGATCCCATGCCCGGCCTTGCTGTGGATCTTCCGGTAGGTACTACATTTTCCCTAGTACCTTTTTGATCCATGTTTTCGGCCAGAAGGGACGGGTTGGGGGCGGGTGCGCAATGCTTGCCAGATGTTGGCATCTGATCGCACTCATTTGATGCGCCCTCAACCTGTCCGCTTCGCGGGGCAAATCCTCCTGTGTGACCAGGGCCAATATTTGAAATAATATATTTAAAAATACAGGTATTGGCTGTTTGGTGTTCCAGGTAAATGGATAATTTTGGACTAAAATGATAATTTCCCACTTGCCATGGAAACCATATAAAATTATGTGTTTGGCAACACTAGACATATATAGTGAGCAAAAAGCTGGCTTGCAAGCAGTATTGCTTAGAGGGACACAAATCTTATTTTCATCCATTAATTTATTTAAAGTTATGCATGCTTGAAATTTGCCATCACCAAATAGAATAGCCTGTGCAACAAAAGGGCTCTTTAACGGAAGAAAACCGGAGCTTTTGTAATACGTATTTCAAATAACGGGGTTTGATTTTAATGAAGTATTTTTGTGTTACTTATTTGATAGGGAGGGCGTTTCCTCTCTCTCTAATATTTCTAAAAACCTTGGCTCTTACAGTTCCCTTTAAAGGAAGTTTTTGCTTTTCAGAATTGCAAATAGGAAACAGTCACAAAGCAGACAGGCAGCGTGTGATAGATTCAGGTGGGTAGTTGTGTTGGTCTGAAGCAGCAGAAGAAATTTAGAGTCCAGTGGCACCTTTAAGCCCTCAGACAAACTATTCAGGGTGTGAGCTTTCGTCTGCAAGCACACTTCCTCAGACAAATTGAAACAAAGACTGATTTCCCACAAGCCGCTGCTCCGCCCTCGCTCTTCCCTTTCCCCTGATCGTATGTGTCAATTTCCCACTATTTGCTGCGCGGCCGCATTTTGCCACGCAGCTTCGCCCAATTTTCCCCGCGTCTACTCGGTCCTGGTTTTTTCTTTTTTTGAGGTTCGGGTAGATGCGGGGGAATTTGAGCGAAGCTGCGTGGCAAGATGCGACCGCGCAGGAAATAGTGGGAAATTGACACATACGATCAGGGGAAAGGGAAGAGCGAGGGCGGAGCAGCGGCTTGTGGGAAATCGGTCAACATTTCTTCAGGCCTTACGTACAGGAAGATGGGGTGGGGTGGAAGCGCCAGGAAGGATCATCTTAACTTTAAGTGATCCTTCCTGACACTTCCACATCCCCCCCCCCAAAAAAATCTTCCTGTAGGTAAGGCTTGAAGAAATGTTGTTTCCATTTGTCTGAGGCAGGGTGTGAGTTTGAATTATGTTGTATGTCAGTAGCAGGACTCCGATGTCCTTTCCGTGCCATTTGCTTTCTGGAATCTGAAGTTGTCCGTTTTGGGTTTGCCTCAAAATCGTGAGAGCAGCTGTGACGCACAAGAACCGAGTTGCCCTCGCTTTCTCGTTTGGAATCTTAGCCAATTAGCTCTGCAACCACGAGGGCGGAAGAAGTTAACAAAAGCCGGGATTCGCACTCCGAATTCTAATGAGAGATTGCAAACCGTGTAAAAGGGCCGTTTGGCCAGAGACTGCAGATGAATGGGCAGGATCTGGGGGGGTGAATGAAACCTCATTCAACCTGGTTTGAACCCGGGTGTGTCTGTTTAGAAATTAAGCATTGTAAAAAAAAAAAAAAAAGTATTTTAAAACCTCCAAATGGCTTATTTATACTTTTGAATTGCTTTTATATCATTACACTATTGTTGCCTATTAGACAACAGCAACCTTGTTGCGGCAGTTAATTTCATACCTGAATTTTAATTATCCTAGGAGCCATTCCTACTGCTGGCATATCTTGCTGGTTTTCTTTTGGCTGGAGGCGGAAATAGTCGTTGATGTTTAAAACCTACGGCTCCCTAATCTCCATTTGTCAATATGTTTACATTGGAGCCAAACTTCTTTTTTCCTGATTAACCGTTCTCCCCCACCCCCTTTTTAATTGATGGATAAATTGTTGATTAAAGATTATGATGTATCAATACAATGGATGGCTCGAAAGCGTTTATTGAAAATCAGTTAGCATCTGGATGACGGGGAACAGGACAGAAACCTGAGCCCTGATCCGACTGTAGTAAGGCATCATCACAACATTGTGTGCTCTTTGTTTATTTAGAAGAAGAGAAGAGAGATTGCATTTATACCCCCACCCTTCACTCGGAGTCTCAGAGCAGCTTACTAACTCCTTTCCCTTCCCCTCCCCACAACAGACACCCTGTGAGGTGGGTGGGGCTGAGAGAGCACTTTCGAGGACTGCTCTCGAGAGAACAGCTCTGAGAGAACGGTGGCTTGCCCAAGGTCATCCAGCAGCTGCAAGTGGAGGAGTGGGGAATCAAACCCGGTTTCTCCCAGATTAGAGTCCACAGACTTAACCACTACACCAAACTTCACTTAAACCCTGTTTCATTTCCCAACACCTGCCTTTCCCCTAGTGAGTACCCAATGTGGCTTACATTGTCCTCTTCTCCTCCATTTTGTCTTCCTAACAGCCCTGTGAGGTAGGTTGAGCTGAGAGTGTGTAACTGGTCCAAGGTCACCCAGGGAGCTTCCCAGAGCCTAGTCCAAAACTGTAACCACTACACTACATTGGCTGTGTTTGTAGCCCTGTGACCCATCGATTTCTCCATTTAATACAACAGGATTCTTCACATGTCTGTATGAGTAGAACAGGTTGTGTTTGTGTATGAGACGGAGAGAGGTGCACTGAAAGTCATACATGTGCGAGGGTACATGTCTTGCAGAAGTCTCATGTTCAACCCCTGGCACCTCCAGGTAAAAGATCTCTGGTGTTGGGGCGAGATAGGACCTCTGTCCAATATGTTAGATGGTTTCTGCAAGCTGGAGCATTATGCATGTACAAAGCTTGCTTATTCCAGTCCAGCTACCTCAGACTTGGCTACCTGGACTTGTATGCACTTCCTGGGGTCTCGGGCAGAGAATGGTATTTTTTCAGCACCTGCAACCTAAAGATTCTTGAACCTGAGATCTTCTACCTGCGAAGGAGGAGGAGGAGAAGAGGAGGAGGAGGCCGTGATAGACTATATTTGTCCGACTCTAATGGCTGCTTCATATATTCAATATGTAAAGATAAAGGTTCCCTTGCTCGAAAGCCAGTCGAATCCGACTCTAGGGTTGTGGTGCTCATCTCCGTTTCAAAGCCGAAGAGCCAGCGCTGTCCGAAGACGTTTCCGTGGTCATGTGGCCGGCATGACTAAACACCAAGGCACATGGAACGCTGCTCCCTTCCCACCGACGTGGTATCTCTTTATCTACTTGCAATTTCTTGCTTTCGAACTGCTAGGTTGGCAGGAGCTGGAACTAGAGATGGGAGCTCACTCCGTCATGCGGCACCCGGGTCTCGAACTGCTGAACTACTGACCTTCCACAGCCTGCAGCTCAGCGTCTTAACCACTTGAGCCACCGCAGCTCAATACGTAGCAAGTTCCTAAACCCGTTTCTGGAGGGTGCTGCCTTACAGCCCTGCCTCCATCAGAACACACAAGTCATGAAATGAATAATACAGATATGAGTAATGGGGGGAAGCTGCTCAGTCACGAGTAATAGCAG